ATCCTACCGTGAAGTTACGGAGCTTCTGTCATTGTATATTTATTGACACGGTTCAATTTATTTTAAGTTAACTCAACTTAAATTCGTTAAACACCAACAGATACGAATAAGTTTAAAAGCAGGTATATGTCATAAAATATAAGTTTAAATTTGAAATTAGAATAATAATAAATCAAGTCTTACAAAAAGTGATCCAAATGAATCTACAAATAAAGAAATAAAAGGGTAAATTTCATAAATATATAATAAAACAATTTTTTTGCACCAAATATAGTCAAGTTTTCATTTACATAAATAATAGCCCAAATTAGCGATGTATGTATAAGCAACAAAAAATATTTTCAACAAAATGACCATACGTATATGTATGTATCGATAATCGATAAGTATATATTATGAATTGATATTATATAAATACTATATACTCATGTATCGATAATGTATAACTATATATAAAAGTCGTATATACATCTATATCCATTATTGATACACTAAAATATACATTGCAAATCATTCTTTTTTCAATTCCAACTATCTCTAATCTTCTTTAAATAATTCAAAATTTTAGATATGAGCTATAATTCAATATTTTAAGTTTTTTGATATATTATTTATTCAAAATGATTTATATTTGTGGCGCATTAATTTTCAAAGTCGAGTTTTGAACATTGAAGAAGGAGGAGTAGAAAAGAGGAGGAGGAAACCAACGAAGAAATAAGGAAGAAGAAGAAGTCATTAATGACTGAAAGAAAAGATCATTGATGACAAATTAAAGTGCCTAAGGGATAATTATGATAAGAATCTCATAGTTGGGCTATTTTCTTTTTGGTTCTTTCACTGATGTTTTTTTTTTACTTGTGCTTTCAGATTTGTTTGTCTAAAATAATTAGCTGGTATACAAGTTTTTGATCAAGTCTTTACAATACAAAACATCTATCCAAAACTTTAAAAGGTGGCAAAGATTGCCCCATTTTGAATGGTTCAAGGGCAAAGTATTTTTCTTATTTTGGAGAAACCCTGGGTGATATTCTTGAGTTATTTGATTAGTGGCATAATTCATAAATATGTTTTTTAACTCAGCTTCAAGTGACATCTATGCCCTTCAATTTTGGGTGTGCTCAAGTAGGCATTAAACTTGTATAAAATTGAACAAATAGATACATGTGTCCTACGTGGCATAATACACGTAGGACTCTACATAGGACACAAAATTGTCATGTAAGACACCACGTAGGACAAATGTGTCTATCTGTTCAATTTTATACAAGTTTAAGTGTTTATTCGTGCACACACAAAGTTAAAAGACATAGATGTCAGTTGAGGCCAAGTTAAATAACATATTTATGTATTATATATGCCTTGATTAGTTGAAGAATCTTTTTGAGCAAAAAATGTAATATCGAGGGATTTTTGAACAAAAAAATGATGAAAAGTGCACCAAAAGGTATGATCTAGTGATCAATGAAGCGAGGTTGGGCATCATAAGGCTTTCTCAGGTTCAAATCCCACAAAGATAAAATAATAGGAATTTTTTTCCATCTGTGCTTGCTTTGGTGGATAGAGTTATTAGTCAGAATGCACACAAGTTGATTCGGACACCACATTTATAAAGTAGAATTGACCTATTTCAATTTTATTTTTTTTGGAGGGGGGGGGGGGTTTGGCCATATTTCCTCTTAAAAAGTGAGTACAAGTTAAAAGATAGTGTCTGAGTAGAACATGTCGTGAGACTTTTGCAGTAGAGAAAATTATCAAAAATACCCTCATATTTTCATTATTAGTTAAGTTTGTTCTTCATTATAGTATATGGCTGAAAATTCTACCACTATCAAACTTGTTAAATATACAATTATATCCTTTTACATTGGATAATTTTGGGAAGATTAGGGAAAACTATTATTGTGGAGGATATATTTGATAAGTTTCCTAACATATGAATATTTTTAGCTATATAGTATAACGAGAAATAAACTTAGATAATAAATAAAAGTAGATGAATATTTTTAAGATAAAATTAGACAAAATATTCACTAGGTTATATTTCTTTAAAAAAAATAAACCACTTAAAAAAAGCTATTTATTACCATAAATGACCATTCGACACTTTTGTCTAACAAAATTTGGCATGCTTTGTTGTTTTTCTTCTTCCTGGTTTTTCTTGCTTCTTCTCGTAGCTTCGGCCCGCTTTGTTCTTCTTCTCCTCCTCCTCCTCCTCTTCTTGTAGCTTCTTTTTTCTTAAAAATCGATTGCCGCAAACGTGAATCGTTTCAAGCGAATTATATATTAAAAGACTCGAAACATCAAGAAGATTTTATATCTAAAATTTGAGACTATTAGAAGTGATTTCAAGTTGATCAAGATTAAATAGTCAATGCATACTTTAGGTATGATTAAGCTATAATAAGTTTTTTGACTGTATCATGGTATATAAACAGTGTATAGCTCATGTATAAATATGCATATTGTATAGTCAGTGTATACTTTTTATGAATTTTGATAAAATATAGTGTGTAGTAAATGTATGCTTTTTATGACTTTTGGCTATATGTAAATAAAACATGGCTATATTTATTATAAACTAATTATTTTATGGAGAATTTTCTCTTATAGCCACTTAAAAATAACTTAAATTATGTTCCATAGCTATAGTTTGCTAATTACGATTCGTAGCTACATGTTAGAGGGAGAAGAGAGGTGAACGAGATTGTGAGAGGGATGATACAAGCAAGCGAGAGAGGCAGAGAGTGGAAAGAGGAGAATTGTATATGTATATATGTCGACTTGTACTTGTATATATGTAACTAATATACATTTTTATTTGTATATCTGGCGAGCGAGATTGAGAGAGGGAGGAGAGATACGAGCGATAGAGGGAAGAGAGTGGAGAGAGATAAATTTGTCAAATAATTATATATATGTAACTGATATACATATATATTTGTATATATGGTGAGCGAGATTGGGAGAGGGAGAAGAGAGGCGAGCAAAAGAGGGCATAGAGTGGAGAGAGGCTTATTGTATTTGTATATGTCATATAATTGTACATGTATATGTATAATTAGCTGTGAGCCGTAATTAATTTAAACTATAACTATATTAGCTAATTAACTAATATATACATACTTATCCGCGTAATTTTCCTTTATTTTTAGGGCAAATCACATAAATCCCACTAGTCTAGGTCTTAATCATTAAGATTCCCAATAGTTTCAAATATTACTTCATCTACCATATTTTATGATTAGGATACATGAGTCTGAACCATGAGATACATGTATCTGTCGAATTTTAAAATTGAGATACAAAATTTATTTATTTAAATTAATTGGTTGTAACTTATTTCCTTAATTAGAGGAGTAATTGAGGATTTTCAAAATACATAGATAATTAATTTTATTTTATTATTCTTTGAAATAGTAAATTCATTAATATTATTAATATAAGATAAAAACATGTATATCTTGGTAATGTAATTTGATTAATTTCAAATCATTACTCTTAAAATAATAAATTCATTAGTTTGATGTATTTATTATCAATATATGATGTATCCAACAAACTAAATATTTAGATACACGAGTGTCATACAAGTACATTCATATGTATCATAGAAGTATCTAGCATTAATTTCATGTATTTGTTATACGTATCTAGTATTATTTTTATGTATATGTATATATATATATATATATATATATATATATATATTAATTTCATGTATCTTTTATATGTATCTAGTATGAATTTGATGTATCAAGTATCAATTGCATATGTTATATCCAAAAACATGTATGTCGAATACATAGTAAACATATACATCTAATTATGTGTATCTAAATATGGAATATACAAAAAGAAGAAGCATATACATCTAATTAAGTGTATCTAAATTTCATACATTATATCCAAAAATATGTATCTCGAATACATAATAAACATATACATTTAATTATGTGTATCTAAATATGAAATGTAGTTGAAACACATGAATCTATGAACAAATCACGACTGTAGAGTATCTGTTGTGTCATTAATATCATTGTGTTGTTAAAAATCATGTATCCAAAATTTAATATATAGTGGATACATATACATGTTCAGATACCCCATTACTAAAAATACAACTCAGATCTTAATTAAGATTACTACTTATTGGATACACATGTTTCAAGGGCTATATCAAAGTAATATTGGTACTACCACATCCATATCACAGTAACCAAAGAAAGTCTTAGAAGAACACCAGCAAACAAAATCTCTCTACAATATTCCCTTTGATCTTTTTGCACTGTGGCATAACATAATCAAAACTAAGATCCATTTTTTTCGGAGACAAACAATCAAGACCCACTATGAATTGAAAGTTTTCTCTGTAGCAGTTACTGTGATTGGAACTCGTGATAAATGAACAATACAAAATGATATTTGGGTTCAGGAGAATTTGTGGTGATGATATCTTGAGAAGAAGAGAGTAGATTAACTATTGTTGAAATGAAATTGTAAGGTGAAATTCTTGAATCAGAAAGGAGGAGACATAATTGAGTGATAAATATGGGAGGGGAGAATTAAGAGATAGTGGTTGATTTGGAGTGAAATAGTTATTTAAACAGATAATTAATCAATAATAGTTTTAAGGGATGTGTGTATCTAATAGTATTTTCAAATAATATATTAATATATGGTATAAAATACTAAAAATGGTAATATATGTAATTGTTTAAAAGTAAAGATAATATTAGTATATACAGTAGTGATGTATGTCTAGGTAGTTTATCCTTATTTTTGTTATATATATTTGTAAGTAGGCCCTATTATAAAACCTTTTTCCCCTTTACAATAAAACCAGCAACCAGCCCAGCCCATCAACAACACCGTCCAAAGCAAATAAAATCTGCGTGGTGGGTGGCCCAAGAAACGTAGCAGCAAACCCGAGATCCGCCTTTAAAACTCGTTCCAGATTAGGGTTTTTGCTCACTTCAGTATATTCAGCTTCGCAGCTCCTCAACCCTCCAGCTGCTGCAGCGAGACAACTTCCTTCTGTCACAATGGGGTAATCTCCCTTCCTTTTCTCTTGTAAAGTATATTTAGTAATGTCATACTTAATCGTGCTGAGAATGCTATGAGACGGCATTCATTTTAAGGAAATGTATCAAATAAGCTATGTTTTATCGCAACAAAGCATAATGTACTGATTGATGTATGACATTAAACTGAGAATCGATTGTTTAGTGAGCTGGTTTGGCTTTGTTGAGAAAGTTAGATATATGGGGTAGTACCTTGACGCTTCTGTGTGTATGTGTAGTTCCTCAGTCCATCTTGGCAAAACAGTTGAGCTCTCTTGAGGGCAATGAGTTGTTTTGAATGCTAATGGACTCAGATCAAATGTCTCTCTAAACTGTTCTGGGCTCGTCAAGCTCCGTGGGGTTACAGATCAGTAGAGAAGAAACATTTAGCTAATGAAACCCCTTTTCTCCATGTAAAAAATACTCTATTTATCATAGCTATGCAAAAATAGACTATGGATATGTTCTTATGTTTTCCAATGCTTCTGTCTAAATATGAGGTTTTGAGTCTTGTCATACTTAACAATTTGGGGAAACTGATTACATTTGACATCAAAAGCTAAAATTGGAAACACAATGTGTAAAATTGGAACTTTGTAATTATAGCTAGTTTTGCATTGCTGAGAAAAAATAAAATTTTGGGTATAAATTTAGAACATGTTACCCTGCTGTTCTGTGTGGGTGCGTAATTCCTTAGTCCATCTTGGCAAAGCAGTTGAGTCCATCTTGGCAAAGCAGTTGCGTCCTCTTGAGGGCAATGAGTTGTTTTGAATGCTAATGGACTCAGATCAAATGTCTCTCTAAACTGTTCTGGGCTCCTCAAGCTCCGTGGGGTTACAGATCAGTAGAGAAGAAACATTTAGCTAATGAAACCCTTTTTCTCCATGTAAAAATTACTCTATTTTTCATAGCTATGCAAAAATAGAATATGGATTTGTTCTTATGTTTTCCAATGCTTCTGTCTAAATATGAGGTTTTGAGTCTTGTCATACTTAACAATTTGGGGAAACTGATTACATTTGACATCAAAAGTTAAATTGGAAACATAATGTGTAAAATTGGAACTTTGTAATTATAGCTAGTTTTGCATTGCTGAGAAAAAAATAAAATTTTGGGTATAAATTTAAAACATGTTACCCTGCTGTTCTGTGTGGGTGCGTAATTCCTTAGTCCATCTTGGCAAAGCAGTTGTGTCCTCTTGAGGGTAATGAGTTGTTTTGAATGCTAATGGACTCAGATCAAATGTATCTCTTAACTGTTCTGGGCTCCTCAAGCCCCGTTGGGTTACAGATCAGTAGAGAAGAAACATCTAGCTAGTGAAACCCCCTACCTCCATGCAAAAAAAAAACTACTCTATTTCTTATAGACAGTTTCTGACATACCTGGTAAAATGATTGGTTTCATACTTGGTCATATTAACAACATACCCAGAGTAATCCCCACTAGTGAGTTTTGGGGAGGGTTGGGTGTACACATGCCTTATCCCCCTACCTTTGTGGGGTTGTGGTTGTTTCCGATAGACTCGTTCATATTAAATAGTTTGTATTATAAAATTGGGAATGCTTTGTGTAAAAGAGAAACTTTGTACTTCGAGTTTGTTTTGCATTATGAATACTTCATTCTATGGGTGATATATTTAAAATTTATTACCTGGTTGTTCTATGTGGATGCGTAATTCCTTAGTCCATCTTGGCAAAGCAGTTGAGTCCTCTCAAGGGCAATGGGTTGTTTTGAATGCTAATGGACTCAGATCAAATGTCTCTCTAAACTGTTCTTGGCTCCTAAGCTCTGTGGGGTTACAGATCAGTAGAGAAGAAACATCTAGCTACTGCAACCACACTTCCTTCATGCAGAAATTACTCTTATGTCTTGTAGCTATACAAAAAAAAAAGACATTCAGCGAGTACGAAAATTATGAGTAATTGGCTTTTTTCTTCTGTTTTGGTGTGCTTGTGTCTAAATAAAATGTCTTGCGTCCTGACATACTTAGAAGTTTGGGAAAACCAACTTCATTTGACATTAAAAGGGCTTAGTTTGGAATGAGATCAACATTTGAACTTAATTGAATAAGCATTGCCGTAGAAACAAGCACTTGAGAAAATGTTTGGTTTGGTATTAGGTCATATTAAATAGTTGTATTTTTAAATTGGAAATGCAGTGTGTAAAATAGAACTTCTTGACTCTAGCCAGTTTTGCATTACTTAAAGATGTTAATTTATTGGGATAAATTTTGAACTTGTCACCTGGCTGTTCTGTGTGGATGTGTAATTACTCAGTCCATCTTGGCAAAGCAGTTGAGTCCTCTTGGAGGGCAATGAATTGTTTTGAATGCTAATGGACTCAGATCAAATGTCTCTCTAAACTGTTCTGGGCTCCTCAAGCTCCGTGGGGTTACAGATCAGTAGAGAAGAAACATCTAGCTAATGAAACCCCCTTCCTCCATGCATAAAAACTCTACTTCTTATAGCAATGCAAAAAAAGACATTTAGCAAGTATAAAAATTATGAGTAATTGGCTTTGTTCTTTTGTTTTCTTGTGCTTGTGTCTAAATATAAGGTCTTGAGCCTTGTCATACTTAACAATTTGGGGAAACTATTCACATTTGACATCAAAAGGGCTTTACTTCATGATGAGATCAACATTCAAACTTAATTAAATAAGCATTCCATTAGAAACAAGCACTTGAGAAAATGATTGGTTTGGTATTTGGCCATTTCTCAATGTGTAAACTAGTAACTTTGTAATTCTAGCTAGTTTTGCATTACTGAGAAAAGTTCAATTATGGAGGATAAATTTCAAACTTGTGGATGTGTAATTCCTCGGTCCATCTTGGCAAAGCAGTTGAGTCCTTTTGAGGGTAATGAATTGTTTTGAATGCTAATGGACTCAGATGAAATGTCTCTCTAAACTGTTCTGGGCTCGTTATGCTCTGTGGGGTTACAGATCAGTGGAGAAGAAACATCTAAACTATTCTTCCCCCAAACAAAAAAAATTTGTTTCTTATTAGCTCATGTCAGTGTTTAACATGCCATTAGTAGGCACTCGCCGAGTATAAAGATTAGAGTACTTGGCTTTGTTCTTATGTTTTCTTGTGCCTGTGTAGACATGGCAGTTTGGTAAAGTACTACATTTGACATCAAAAAGGCTTTTTGTTCATAACGAGATTTACCTACCTTTGAACTTTTTTCAATAAAACAATTCCTTCTCCATTTTAATTATTAATAATAATTATAACAATTCTGAGTATATGTGAACCTCCCAATAGAAAATCCAATAAAAACAGCACATGGTAAAATGATTGGTAGTTTGTATTATTAAACTAGGAATTTAATATGTATAAGAGACTTTGTAATTCTGATAAGTTCTGCTTCACTGGAAAATGTTAAATCTTTGGGGATATGTTTAAAACTTGTTATCTGGAGGTTCTATTTGAATGCCTAATCCTGCAGTCGATCATGGCAAAGTAGTTGAGGCCTCTTGAGGGCAAGCTATGAATGGTAATGGACTTGAATCAACTGTCTCTCTTAACTGTTCTGGGTTCCTCAAGCTCCATGGGGTTACTGATCAGATGAAACATATGAGAGAGATTTTGCAAGTTAATTTAGATAGTTATGAACATCTTGTTATATGCTGTTGATTTTCTCTGTGTGTGTATATCAAGTGGCAAGATTTCCCTTCTTTGGCCACTTCTAAACTTATGTTGTACCAACTTTAATGCAGGAAGACACGTGGAATGGGAGCTGGTCGTAAACTTAAGTCCCACCGTCGGAGGCAGAGGTGGGCTGACAAGTCTTACAAGAAATCTCATCTTGGTAATGAATGGAAAAAGCCATTTGCAGGATCATCTCACGCCAAGGGGATTGTTCTTGAGAAAATGTATGACCAATTTTGCTTTCCATTTTTTAAAATTAGTTGTTTATCCATTTGTTTGTGTGTTTTGTTTAATAGACATAATGTTAACTGAATGAACTGCAGTGGTATTGAAGCTAAGCAGCCTAACTCTGCCATTAGAAAGTGTGCTCGAGTTCAGTTGATAAAGAACGGGAAGAAGATAGCTGCTTTTGTACCCAATGATGGTTGTTTGAACTACATTGAAGAGAATGTATGTGTTTCTGTCATTGCAAATGTCTTTTTTGTTTCAATTTCCTATATAGTATTATTTAATGTTGAATAAATCTCATCTGATTGTTTGTAGGATGAGGTGTTGATTGCTGGATTTGGTCGTAAAGGACATGCTGTGGGAGATATTCCTGGTGTTAGGTTCAAGGTTGTGAAGGTGTCTGGTGTTTCACTTTTGGCTCTCTTCAAAGAGAAGAAAGAGAAGCCCAGATCTTAATTATCACTTTCTGGTCAAAATGCAAGTGTGTTCTGAATGAATTTTTGTTAGGATACAAAATACCATTTTCTTTTCTAGTATAGTTTGTCATGCCTGTCCATGAATATATCTAGGACATTTGTTTCACCTTCTGAAAATGAATTGAATGATCCGTGGAATTTTGGATCAAGTTGTTGGAAGTTGAAAGCAATTAGTTTTCCTTCCTACTATAAGAGTACTTTTTTGAATTTATTGTGCAAAGTGTTACTTAATATGCTGTCACTCATTTGTTTGTGTTGTTCGGAGCATAAAGTATCAGTATGGTTAAATTTTGGCTTTAGTCGTCAATAGTCTCTTCATGTAAGTTGTCTGCATATACCATTTTTCCTTTCTACTATCATTTCGCCATCACCAATATCCTGTAATCTTCGTCGGACAAGTACCCATTAAACAAATGAGTAAAGATAGAAAAATTCAGAAGAGTTTACTGATACAACTCTGAAAATTTTTAACTTCATAAAATGTTGAAAAATTCAGAGGAGTTTAATTTGTAGGAGAGAATTTAATCAAAAAAAATCCGATGAACTTTCCATTTTTTTCTGGCAAGACTACTTCAAATCCAAAATTATTTTCTTTGAAGTTGTTAAAAAAATTCAAACTCTTAAAGAATCTACAATACAAAAAATATCAACAAATTTTAATTAATGTTTGAGAAAGACAATGAAATCGGAGAAATGAGAGCTATGGTATTGATAGAAATCACCAAATCGTAATACAAGAGAGAGGGTATATAACGACTATGGTGTTAATGACATAAATATAAAATGAAGATACTTGTAACTCGCGATCGCCATATGGTGGATGGATTGTGGTGGCCGATTGACGGATTGGAATTCCTACAAAAAAAGAAAGTGTGTTTTCAGGTAGCTATGGAATTGCTGCTAGTAGACTGAAAGGCTATTCCCTCCCTAACCCTAAGGTAACCGCTACCGGGAATGTTTTGGGTGCGTGGGTTGTGTAGGGTTAATTTTTGTTTTTCTATTAAATTTTTAGTTTAAAATATTTTCTTATAATATGTTTTTAAATAATTTTTTAAAACCCAAATGACATGTACCAATTTAATTTCTTCATTATGCCATGTCATTGCAAGTGTATCTCACTCACTTTAAATTTTTGTCTGAATGTCAAAAATGTTGAAGGAGTATCAATTCGAAGTGGTAGAGGTGTTCAATAGGTACAAACTTTAGTTGAAGTGTTCAAATGAATTATGTGGACAATTTAAGTGGCCGTCGATGACTTAAGCTTTAAATTTTTTAGGCAAAGTGGGATTGATGATTAGTACGTAACAATACTTTTTCTAGTTATTTAACACTAATAAATTTATGAACAAATCAGATCACATGTTTGTTATTCTGTAGAACTTACAATATAGGAAATAAAAACAATTACAAGTAAGAATCAAGAAAAGTTACAAGTAGTTACAATAATTGAGACTCTCCAATTTTTTTTCCCGTATTAACCATTAACAAAGAAAATAAAATAAAATAGAGATATTTAAGATTTTTTGAATAAAAAATGTGAAAAATTAAGAAATAGTATGCGAAAAATATGTGAAAACATTTATGAAGAGCCACCACAAGTTTTCATATTATGCTCTTTCTGAAGCAACATTGTGCATTCAAACAAAGTTTCAGAAGCACAATAACAAAAAAAATGCTACTCATCATGCAGCATTTAAACTAGTCATTCTCCATGACAAATACAATGTTATTTCTTGTTAATTAAATATAAGTTCATTAAAGATAAAATAGTATAGATCATTGAATCTATAAAATAAATACATTAGCTGTAGCCAAAGTGATGATAGAAGGAAAAAACCCACAAAAAGAATCAATTGACTTAGAAATTCAGAAAAAAACATTCAATCGATAAATATCGAACCAAAAAAATATCATGGTGTTGGATTAATTGTTCAGAAATTAAGCAGTTGATATAATTTTTCTTTTGACACATTGAATTGAGGAAAAAAAAAATATAATTGGATTAAGGAAAGTGCAATTTCGTTTCAAGTAACTATGAATTTGTATAACTTGTTGTTTTATAAAGTAATATTCATAACAAAAAATATCTTTCTTGTACTAGATATTTAAGTCGACATGTTATGTTATATTAGTTTTTTATTTCTATAATATATATATATGTAGGACATGACTAGGCTAATTTGATACACAACAAATAGAATTTCGCTAATGACTCACTCGTAACTTGACATAATTTCAAAGTGTTGTAAAGAGGTAACTTGCATTGATGTATATTATATGACTAGACGTATTTGCACGGGCTCAACAGTTGTGTCAATAAGATACACTCACTAACGAATATGTGATAGTTTAATTTCATCAAATTTGCAAACAAGCAACCTATACATACTATTCGAGTTTTCCTCTAAAACAAAAATGGAGCGGATCCACGGGCTGCCAATAACACAACTGTGACACTATAAGTTTACAACCACCTCCTGCTACTTGGCGCTATTAATTATACCTCTCTCAAGGAACCAATATTCTCTGACATATTCTTATCCAAGTAACATTCATAGCCCAATTTGTACTCCCTTTAAGTCTTAACCCTTAAAATACATGAAGTTAATCTCAATTTGCTGAAAATATTTCACAAGAATTTGAAGTCGAATATGTTGATGTAAACAAAGGAATATAATCGTATATTAGCTTCAACTATATTGCTACAAATGCAAAGAAGATTTTCTCAGATAAAGAGAAACCTAGCTAGGTGGATATTAAACGACATGAAAATAGTAGTTAAGGAAGTCCATGCATGTTCACCCAAAAAATCATCACACACACCTATACTAAGCAAAAATAGAAGAATTCTAGGGCAAAGATTGCAGAAGGAGCTAACCTGTGAATTGGAACAGCAACCGATACTCAACTCCTCTTTTGAGAGAAGCGGTGGCTCTTGGAATATAAGTTTAGCCTATACAGTTGCTTATAGGTGAAATGACTAAAATTGTCCTCATCATTTTAGTTTTTATAGACAAATAACAGACATGTTGATACTACTTTATAGACTCACATTTCTAATATTTAGTAGAAATGTTTAAGGGATCATGTCAACTAATTGTTTATTTTAAAAATACATAATTTCATTTATAATAATTTTTATTCGAGCTTCTATTAGATGAATTGCTTATGTAGGAATTAGGGGTGTCAAATGGGGTTGGATTTGAATGAGTTTAAAATGATTTGAAGTAATTATCCAATCCGTTCATATTCTATATGGGTAAATATGGTTTGAGTAATTAATGAACGGATTGGATATGAGTTACCCATATTTCATCCACATTGATTAAAGAATTAAAAAATAAATTTATATATTTTAAATTTCTAAAGTAAGTTTTTATTCTACTCACTCTCCAATGGCATTTTTGACAATTTTGTTGCAAATTTGTAATAAGAACGCAAAAGCTTTTTCTTCTTGGTAGTTATATAATATATTATCCCGTGCTTTCTAGAAGGCATTCTACTATTCCACTGAGCTCTTTTTATAGTTTTTCAGTTTTGGCTCGAGTATTCTCCTTTCATGTGCAGAGAGAGTCAGTTCTTTTGTTCTCTATTCGCTCCTTTCTTTCTCGAGAAATATACATATATTCTGCAATTTGAAAATGATAATTGTACCAAAGCTTAAGTACAGTACAGTGTTCTATTCTTAATCACAGGTTAGGTTAGGTTAGGTTAGGTTAGAGAAAGAAATATGTGTCTTGTATTGCTTAGGTAATCTAACTTGCAAAATTCTGATATTTGTATTCAGACTTATTCTGTTAGTTGAATAAAATACTACTATATGATAAATAAATAAATTAGAAAAATATGCCATCGAATTTTGAGAAAAGGCTCAAGGCTCATCTCCAACTTCTCATTATCGACAAAAATCTTGGTAACAACTTCAAAACCCCCACTGATATATTAGATAAAAATAGCAATGCACAATCAACTATAAGTAACAATTTCATCCATTTAATAGATATCAGGAAGCTCTAATCCACCAAAAATTATCATATAGTGTATTAACCCTCTTGTCCTTATTCTTAATGAATTAATATCTTAACCAAATCTAGCTTTCCCAATCACAAACCAACTTACCCAGTCAACAATGTCGTCAACGTAGTGTTGAGCTTTATCAGTTGACTGTCTTCCAATTATAATCTCCAAAGCATAATTCCAAAAGAGATGACATCATACACTTTCAACCAATTTTCCCAGTAAAAGCAAACTCAAGAGCTAAATACCTGCAAAATATAAGATGTTAGTGAAAGAAAAGATATGGAGAGCTCAAATATATATAAACATAGACCATAAATGTATCGGGATTAAATCTTGATTCAATGTGCTATAGTTACTGCAGACTTATAGTACAACACAAGGATGAAAACAGAAACGTCATAATGAAAATAAGTATTACTATCCAAAAGTTTCCATTACTCGTGTGGAGACGTGCATATCAGTATCCTAATTCAACCTCACAAGCCTAAAATCAGCATATCCCTGGATCACAAATAACAAATGCATCTCGCGTTTGGTTGGTGGAATAAGGAATAACATCAACGTTGTACGGTTGATTATTCTCTAATATCAGCCATTTTTTGTTAGATAATGATTATCAATCCCCACTCTCCTATTTGATCATTTTATTAGTGACAGTAATAGATACTACCTTTAGGTTAACTGTTGTAAAGGCTATATATGATAAGAGGTTTAACAAAGTTGAGCTGGGAACACGTTGATGTTAGCTTCAAATGAAGTAAAACAATGATATTTTCCCCTACAGCAGTTCAGACATATATTTTCTGTAAAATTAATAACTATTATGTAGATATGCATAACTACTATTAAACAATATATGCTGAAAAGAAAAAGAGCCTCTTTATCACTCAAGATCACGATTTTTTCATTAGTTAACTTTAGCGCTCCTTTAAAAAGATACATTTTTATGTATCTTTTATTACAATCTGTAATTTTTGAACAATATGACCCAAAGATAAAAAAATTATCCGTCTACTCTTCCAATTCCATAGATGATATTTGTTGTCACTCCTATACCTTTGGAAGATATGGGCCTTATTTTTATCGCCATGTGATCTTATAATTTTTTGTTGGTCAGTTTCTTATAGAGCAACCGTATTGGAGTAGATTTAACGTTTGCAATCTTATTGCAAACTGATGATTGAGTC